GCACGAGGCAGAGTTCCCTCCAAGTCGAGAAGAAATAAATCAATAAATTATTTTATAAAATCAGCTTTTAAAAGGAGATCAAGCCAGAGTGAACCCTGCATTGCTTTAATGTCTTGAAGATTTTTGTTTTTCGATACATTTTACCAAAGAACAGATTTTGTTTTCMTTCACCGCACAACTGCAACAAAGAAAAAAATCTGCATGCAATTTGCAGGAATGTCACCATTTATCCCCAGCTCTTCAGTACAGATTCAGTGTGATTCCACATGAGAAATTATTAAATTAAAATTCGACTGGTCACTCAGGGTTGCAGCCACTTAGATTTGTGTTCAGAGCGATCTTATAATTTTAAAGTGCCTGTGACATGTACAGTATATTCTTCAAATACAAAAAGTCAAAGAAAACATATTTATATTTAAGAAAGGTGGAACAGTACACACTGTTTAACCCATTTTGACTCRTAACTGGCAGATTTTCTTTTGAACTTGGCTCAGCCAAAGTGAAACAGGAAGTGACATCAAAGGGGAACTCTAACAAAGAAAACTCTCTGGTCTTTGTTTATTGRAACAATATTATTTGAACTCTGACTCTTCTTCATCTCTCTGATATTGACTCAAAATAATCTTGAGAAACAGATTCTTCTCTACAGTCTGTGATATCAGCTGTTGTARCAACGCTCTGTTCACATGCAGACRTTCCCCTTTGACATCACTTCCTGTTACTTCACAGGCAAATATCTCAACAAGTGTTCATCTCAGCGACATGAAATTTCTTTTGCAATAGTTTATCGATGTCCTGTTTCTAAAAAAGCATTCATAYGTATTACAAAAAATTGACGTCACAGGCACTTTAAACCTCTAATTAAATTAGTGGTAATGGAAAAAACCTCTCCTTGTTAAAACCAGACAAGTTTGACTGTTTGTCCTTTTTCTGTTTTTGATGTTTCCTCGCAGCAGACATGTTGGGCCAAAACTCTTTAAAGGAAGCAGATTGGTTTAAACTCTCACTCTCTGATTTGCATGTAGTACGAGATGATGTATTTCCAGGAAACGTGGCGGAGAGTTTAGATTGAAGGGCTTTGCTTTGTGTTTCCTCTCAGAGGTTTCAGTAACACGGAGACCCTGTGCAGCGAGTACAAATACTACTGTGAGGAATGTAGAAGCAAGCAGGAGGCACACAAGAGGTCAGTACAACCCTGCGCTGGCCAGGATTAATAATTAGTTTTTATTCCAGGAGTTGTCACATGCTTGTCAAACATTTCACCTGGTAAAATAAAAAACAAACGGTGTGTTTCTTTATTTCTAAACGTAGGATGCGTGTAAAGAAGCTGCCGATGATCCTGGCTCTGCACCTGAAGCGCTTTAAGTACATGGAGCAGCTGCAGCGATACACCAAGCTGTCGTATCGCGTCGTCTTCCCCCTGGAGCTCCGTCTCTTCAACACCTCCGGGGACGCCACCAACCCCGAGAGGTTATACGACCTGGTCGCTGTGGTGGTGCACTGTGGGAGGTGAATACTGTGAACACGGTGCACGACACCAAGCGGACAAAAGAGCGTTCTAACGTCCAGCTTTTTGTTTCAAACCACTTTGGATGAGATCAGATGTGGAGGTTAATCTAAAAGGGAAACCTCTGAGCTGGAGTGGGAGTTAGTTTGTGTTGTTTATTCAGGGTGTTTCCCTGCTTTTCAGCCGGCTCTCCACGAAGCTGAAGGAAACAATGAAGCAGGAAAAATTAAATGAAAGGTCAGGCTTGTCTAGCACAGCAGACGTGAGCAGGCAGCGTTACGCACTAAATTACGTCTTTTCTCTTTGAACCAAACTCCTGTTGAGACAATGTTTGTTGAGTTAAATGCCAAAGTGATGCAAAGTAAAATTAGCTGCCATTTTGTGAGCCTCCAGGTGATTTTTTTTGCAAAAATAACGCAAATAAATCAACATAATATGTATTGTTACACTATTGCTGTTTAGATTTTAACRTTTAGATTTGCAGGTTTTCAACCATTTTAATAATATTTTTCTGAAAATATTTTAGTTGTGTATTAAAGTGGAGCATAAACCTGGTATTGTTGGTGTGAACAGACTGTAACACGGTGTCTCGTGTCGTTTCAGTGGTCCGAACAGGGGGCACTACATTGCCATTGTAAAAAGTCATGACTTCTGGCTGCTCTTTGATGATGATATTGTGGAGGTGAGTGAGTTTATTATGAGTGCTTATTCACTTTTCACACTTTTGCCTAATTTTGTTGTTTTTTTGTTTCACCAATTTTTTTTTAGTAAATAACTACTTCTGCATACTTTTTAGAGTTTCGTATATCAAAACGTTCATYTCATTTGAGGAGATGGGAGCTATGACTTTTTATATTTTTCAGGTTTATTTACAATTATATTATCCATAAAAGGACATTGAGATCTTATCTATAGCTTTTCTTTTTCTTTGCTTCAGCATGCTGGCTCTTTTTTTCCTTTTTGCTAATTTTAGCTAGAGGTTTGCACTTATAGCTTGCATTTTGTTCCCCTTCGCTTTTAGCTAGGCTTCTGCTTTCAACTTCTTTGTTAGACTTTTGCTACTTTTAATTAAACTTAGCACAAAAAGTAAGTAAATTAGTGTTTGATAGATTATTTCTTTGTTACAACTATGCTTCTTGTTAATAAATCTTATGGTTTGCAACATCTGGAGGTAGCAGAAGCTCGAAACAAACAACAGCAAAATAAGCTGTTTGGTAGAGAAGATTTGACCAATTTTTCATGTGCACAAACCCACAAACTCAGCTCTAAGCTCATCCCACAAATGCATGTTCCTTACAAATGTGGCACCATTTAAAAGGGAAAAGAACAGGCTTTCTAATAATACAAGATTTGTTGCCAAGAAGCATTGTTACAACAAAGAAATAATCTACCAAACATAAATTTCACAACTTTTTCTGCTAAGTATAGTTTTCAGCTTTTTTAGCTTTTAGCTTGTGTTTTGACTTTAAAATATTACAGCTCTGTTTCAGCCTCTTCAGCAAAGTCATTCWGCTGTCAGTGTTGTCTCTGTATTTTCAGCAAACATTCATTTTTTGATCTATATTTTTCTCTAACAGTAACCAGGGCTTTTTAAAGGGGCAATATTATATGTTTCTCAGGCATATATTTAAATACTATACCATAATAAAGTATCTATGTCACCTTTAGTTGTTATTAAAATGCTGTTTTTATGTTTAAATAGAAAATAAACTTATCTTCTCATCACTTCCTCTTCTAAATGCCTTGAAATTGGCCTCTGTCTCTTTAAGAACCATTCCGCTTCAGGAAGTTCGGCTTAAAGACACGTCCCAGGGGCGTTTCTGGTCTCCACCTGTCGTTTTGCTCCTCAGCATAGCTTCCTAAAAACGCTGCAGGATTTCTCAAACATGCATGAATGAGTCAAAGCAAGGCTTTGGGCATGTTGTTTATGAGAGTATAGCATTATAACATGATATAAAACTCAAAAAAGTTGATTTTTACATGATATTGCCCCTTTAAGCCTTCAGATTTAGTTTTCTAACTTCACTCTGTTTCTTCCTCGACAGAAAATCGATGCCCAGGCTATCGAGGAATTCTACGGCCTCACTTCTGAAATCTCCAAGAACTCCGAGTCGGGCTACATCCTGTTCTACCAGTCCAGAGACTGAGCACGGACTCAAGCGCCTCAACGCATAAACCTGGAGAGATGTTCTCCTCTCTCCTTATTTGGAGAGCAGCAGACTAAAAAAAAAAAGAAAAAAAAAACACCACAGCCGCTCGCACGGTGTCATACCTGCCCCCACAGCTGGAATTCATACTGCGCTTTTCACGCGCTGCAGCTCAGCCGTGGACGTGACCCCGATGGCCCCCATCTCCTTCCTGTTCCTGTCCCTTCATCCATCTCCTTCCTGTCCCCTCATCCACCGCTGCTGCTGCTGCGAGGACAGATCATGAATGAAACTGATTGTTGAAAAAAAAAAAACAGACTGAGGGTTGTACAGACGCTGATTGCTTGTATGAGTGGTGTTCTAGTTTTTGCCTTTGGGTGTGGGGTGAGTGGGTATTTAATTCATATTATGTAATAATGGCTCGAAGTTTTCACCTCCTACGACGTGACTCTAAACTGTGACAGAGTTTTTGGTCCTGGATGTAACGGAGGAGAGGGCAGGAGCTGGGTGCCCCGCTTACGGAGCACCTTCTCCTGGGCTGTTGTATTTCTACAGTGTACAGAATGGTATTTGTATAAATATTACGAGATAATATTATCATTGGAAAACGTTAGACCTTGAGAAGATGTATTAACACTATGGTGCACTTTTGATACTGTTTTGTAGGTGTTGGCAAGCTTAATGTGAGGGGTTGCTTGAAAAAAAAGGCCTGTTGTGAAACGATCATTTTCTGTTTTAAAGAAAAAAAAGTAATAAAAAATAATGACGGTAAAACTCAGGGATGTTGTGCTCTCTTTTTGTCCCACAGGTGATGACTCATCAGGGGGCTCCACGTCGCCACCTAGTGGTGGTTTGGAGTATTTCTGTTTTTGTAAGAGGAGCTGCTGTTATTCTGTTTAGACGCCAATAAACAGCTGTTTGTTTTGGTAATGTGGTTAAATATGCAGCAGCTTACCTGGAGGACAGTAGATGTGACACAGGATGAAGAGTTGAGGCTCAGTGGTGACACATCAGGGATGCTGTTAATAGCACAGACAGGACCAGAATAGCCTCTGATCCAACATCTTCATGTCCGAAACTGAATAAAAACTTAACTATATGATGGATTTTAATGAAACGTATCAAAAAATAATCATTGGATGAAGAGATGTCAAGTAAAGTACAAATACTTCATTACTTAAATAAATGTGGTTATTTATACTTTACTGGAGTAATTATTTTTCAGCCTATTGTTTTACTCAAGACAAAACCAGTAGAAACTTTTCTATTTTTACTTGAGTAAAAAGTTAGAGTTAATACTTCAAAATTTACAGAAGTGGGCCTATTTTTAAACCCTATTTATACTTGAGTAATAAATGAGATATTTATTAAGGAGTATTTAACTGACACAGCTAATCAACACATAAACACCTAAAACTGTTAATTTTTCAGATGTTGAGCTGAAACTTGGTGTGGTAGTAGCTGAGAGTCATCCCCAGAAAACAGTAAATTATTTTAAAAACATTCAAGCACATGAGCTCAAGTTTGGCACAAAAGGCGGCGGGCGAATGAGGAGAGCTTAAAACATGGAACACGTTTTCCAGCAGTCAGACCTTAAATGGCATCGATTTTTTTCCAATTATGGTAAATAAATAAATACAAATAAATAAATAAAATAGAGATTTAAAAATTAGGTCATGCACAAATTTACGCGTAGCTGCGTCCGTGACGGAGCAGACATGAACGGTGTTCAACCAGTTTCTGGCAGTCTGGTTCTTGTGGGACTCCTCCTCCTCCTCCTCCTCCTCCTCCTCCTCCTCCTCCTTTTATCTCTTTCGGAGCTCCGTCCATCATCCCAGTCATGGGAATCCAAGGCTCTTCCATCTAGACGGGAAGCCTCACCTCACCGAGACAAGGTAGGGCTGGGAGTTTTATTATTGTTATTAATGGAGCATCTTTTTTTTATTATTATTTTGCATGCATGCACGGAAAACTGCAGCCAGCATCCTTTTGCTGACGAGAGGCAGCCGGTTTTACGCAAGGTGCACAGAGGGAGACCGGCTCTGTGGGAGCAGATAGATGCAGTCTGACGGGGAGCTGTTTCCATGACGGGTGCGGCGCCTTATTCTGGGACTTCTGACCACAAACGTTGCAGGTTTCATCGATATCTGTGGTCTGAAAGCTTCTCCGCAGAGCCTTGTTTATCTCTTGCTCTCTTTCAGCCAATTAATTTACAAACCAACCCATTTTCTAGTCCTCCTTACAACTTCCATGATCCAATTCTGAGTGTGCATTACCAGGATTAATTATCAGAGGTTGCTTTGTTTCTAAATATTTCAAGGAAGGTTAGTTTTTCTACAGTTTTGAGGTTTTGTTTCCAACAGGGTTGCATTTTGATGAGCGGGAGCCGGCTTAACGTGTGCTCAGAGGCCCACGGCACATCCAGTACCACCTGCACAATCCCACATCTGTCTTAAATATTCCCAAACCAGCTTTCAGTTCAATGACGAGCTCGGTGATGCACAAGAATAAAGCAACACATTTTTTTTCCTTCCTGTGAAAGAAAGTCTGAGTGCAAACTAAAAAAAAAGGTCWACTCATGGTACATTCTGTCCCTTTTAATCAGCGGTGTCCCGTTCCAATCCTCAAAGGTCACTTCTCTGCATATCCTTAGATGCTCCAAAACACCTGAAGGAGGTTAGATCTYTAGAAAGACCTGRAGTTCTTCAGAGGGGCATGAATCGMTCATTTGAATCAGGTGTTAAATTAGAGAAACAGCATTGATTGGACAGGATTGCTCGTAATGGTTCTGCCCTCTGTCTTCAGATCTCAGGAGCAAAGGGTTGGGGCCTTGATAGTCCTTGGATTGGTGACCACCTTGGAATATGAGGTGTTTAGGTATGGTTAGGGCTGTTGCCAAGGTTCACAACTGGGCTGGGGCCTTTACCTGTTCTCCCTTTGCATTGTGTGGGTACTCTCTATGTAAAATTGACTAAATTATATCTAACATTTTGTGTCACTTTTTTATATGTTTCTTGTAGCTGAGGTTAGAATAATAATAAAAAAAACCCTCCAAGATACTTAAACTCAGTCACAGCATCAATTTGTTTACCCTTGATAAATGTTTAAATTTGGGGTGTCCAATTTAGTCTTAGAGAAAAACATACTTTTTGYTTTGTTTACATTTAAAGTCAGACAGGATTGGTTTAACCAGTCAACCAATCCCTCTAAAGCTTTGGTTAATTTCTCAGCTGCAAGTTGAGTCGTTTTAGCACGCGTGTACAGAACAGTATCATCTGCATATAACTGGACTTCTACATCATGACAAAACTTTGGAAGGTCATTGATGTAAAGACTAAAAAGCAGGGGTCCAAGCACCGATCCTTGTGGTACACCCATTGTGCAWTTTAGGAAACTGGAATGTACATCTTTGATTTTAACAGATGTACATTCCAGTTTCCTATAATGCACACATGGAGGGATGGATACTTTTCAAGGGCACATGTCCTGCAAAATCCACTTTTTTAGTCATTAAATACATTTTGTTGTACTTGGAGTCTGTAGGGGTGCAGAAAAGTTGAATTTAGTTTCTCTGTGCTGCGTAAATATCTTTATATTCTGTTTGGGTCTTATGTTTCAACCCACTTTTTTCTGTTTTCTGTGATGTATTCTGAAATATTACGTCACAGAATTGGCAAAGTGACCCCAACATGTAGGGCTGGATGGAAAAATCTCATGTTGTTGACATTTTTTGATCAATTTGTAAATAAAGTGTTTCTGTGCAGCTACAGTATATGGTCATAAACCCCTCTATCAAGCTGGAATAAACYGGTCTTGAAACTGGAGGGGGGCGGGGTGTGAAGCGCCTCATTTGGATTTAAAGATACAGCCTCAAAACGAGTTGACCYGAGACACACCTCAGAAAAGGGGTGAAAGAGGGGTTTGTGGAGTTACAATAAGGAGGAATTCAGACCAAAGCATTGCAGTTCCACTTTATATAGACTCCAACTGAAGGATTTAAATGTGAGAAAGAAGGATTTAAAAGCATCATATATCTCCTTTAAAGGGCCTGTGACATCTATTTTTTTTTAATAAACATGAATGCATTTTTGGAAAGATAACATTGATAACATGTGGCAAAACAAATTTCACGTCGCTGAGATGAACGGTTGTTGAGATGTTTGCATGTGAAGAAACAGGAAGTGATGTCAAAGGTGAATGTCAGCGTGTAAACAGAGCATTGTAACAAAAGCTAACAACACAGACCGTAGAGAAGGACCTGATGTTAGTTTAGATTAATTTTAGTTGCTATCAAAGAGAGACGAAGAAGAGTTAAAGTTWAAATAATTTTGTTTTAATAAACAGAAACCAGCGAGTTTATTTTATTAATGAGTTCTCCTTTGATGTCACTTCCTGTTTCACTTTGGCTGAGCCAAATTCAAAAGAAAATAGGCCAGTTATGTGGCAAAATGTGTAAAATCATGGATATTATGTCAACTTTCCTAAGTATAAAGATGCTTTCTTTGACTTTTTGTATTTGAAGGATAGGCATGTCACAGGCACTTTAACACCTGTGTGTCTTTTGTTTCAGACGGGGGGCACAATGAGTGAAGAGCCAGTGGTTTCTCCAGGCTGGTTGAGCCCTGACCCCACAGCGTGGGGCACCGGAGGCGGGGGACTGGTGGACAACAGCACCAGCACGGAGACGTTTCCGACAGAGGACACCCTCCCGCCCAGCCAGCTGCCTCTGCTGGTCAACCCCTGGGACGTTGTGCTGTGCTCCTCTGGAACTCTGATCGCCTGCGAGAACGCCCTGGTGGTTCTGGTGATCTGGCAGAACCCGGCMCTCAGAGCGCCCATGTTCCTGCTGATTGGCAGCCTGGCTCTGGCAGACCTGCTGGCCGGCCTGGGCCTCGTCCTTCACTTCACCTGTGCCTATTTCCTCCAGTCGGACTCGGCTCAGCTGCTGACTGTGGGCTTGGTGGTGGCCTCCTTCTCGGCCTCTGTCTTCAGCCTGCTGGCCATCACCATTGACCGGTACCTGTCGCTGTACTACGCCCTCACCTACAACTCGGAGCGGACGGCRGCCTTCACCTACACCATGCTGGTGCTGCTGTGGGGTCTGTCCCTGTGCCTGGGCCTGCTGCCGGTCACGGGGGTCAACTGCCTGGCAGAGGAGGCCACGTGCAGCGTGGTGCGACCGCTGACCAAGAACAACGTAGCCGTGCTGTCCGTCTCCTTCCTGCTCCTTTTTGGACTCATGCTGCAACTTTACGTCCAGATCTGCAAGATCGTGATGCGCCACGCCCACCAGATCGCCCTCCAGCACCACTTCCTGGCTGCCACGCCCCACTACGTCACGACGCGCAAGGGCGTATCGACCCTGGCCATCATCCTGGGCACCTTYGCCGCCTGCTGGATGCCCTTCACCGTCTACTCCCTCGTCGCGGACTACACCTACCCGCCGCTCTACACGTACGCCACGCTGGTGCCCGCCACCTACAACTCCGTCATCAACCCCGTCATCTACGCCTTCAGGAACCAGGAGATCCAGAAGGCGCTGTGGATGGTGTGCTGCGGCTGCGTGCCGCCCTGCGTGGTCCAGCGGGCGCGGACTCCGAGCGACGTCTGACCGAGCGGACCCGGGTGTGGGGAAAGAAGAGGCAGCCTGGGGTCAGCTCTGCTCCTCGCTGGACCCGTCCAGTGTCGAAGAGCAGGGGGGAGTCTGCGGGGGGCAGTGGAGACGCCACCGGCAGCAGCAGTTTGGGTTTTTACCCACATGATGGTTGGATGGTGTTATTTCCTTTTTGTTGGAGCAAGGTGTCTCCCTGTCTTCTCCCAGTAAGTGGGCAGCATCCCACCCACTTTCTCCTCACTTCTGCAGAGAGCTCCGAGTGCGTCACAYGTCGCAGGCAGCAGCCGCGTATAACCATCTGTAGCTCCGGTTGTTCTCGTCCTGATAAAAGCGGAGAAATCGTTACTTTTTGCATGTCAGSATTGAGCTGTGCAGGGGGAGGCCGAGTGTGAAGGTTGTTTTTYTTTTCAGAGTGAAGCCCGTCTGGAGCAGCGTCCCAGCGCTCTGCCGCCGCCGCCGCGCTCTGAACGTGTGTCGAAAGCTGAACAGCCGCGGRGAGCTAAAAATAGAGCCGATGCTCTCTGATCCGCTCCACAGATGCCAGGGAGGAAATCTAGCTCCCTTTCTCCTCGCCTCGCCCATCTGCCCCCACAACATTCTTTCCTCCCGATTTTGCTTTAGACTGTGGTTGTTTAAAGTTCCAAACGACCCCCACCATTAACACCCCCTGCATTTTGTTAACATGGAAGCACCAAACCRCACAGAGGCCTATCTGATGATGTAATCTTACATTAGATCCTACTTTATTTGCTCTTTGCAAATWGTTTTTGWTTACTTTTGGATAAAATCCTGAAAGGTGATTGAAGATCCAGTTAACTCCTGGGATGAAATTAAAGGAGCAGGTAGTGTTCTATAAAGAGGTTTTAAACAATCAACATCTTACCTGTTGTAGATGGCTTTCAGAATTGATTTCTAACACTGATGAGCTAACTGCTAGTCTGAGGGGGGCAAAAAGTGGATTGCCGTTGACTTAAAAGAACTCTAATGTCAAAAAATATTTGGCCATTTACACAAATGTTTATTTATTTATTTRTAAACCTTTACACCATCAGCAACACATTACATGATTACAGTAGWAACATGATACAATTATCTGCTGCTGCTGTTTGCACTTGCAGAAAACCAAATTCTGGATTTTTATTATTATTTYCCATACCTGGAAAATAATAAAATAAAATCAATACTTTACAAGATTGAACAACCTTAATTTTGTGTAAAAATTACAGCACTCTAGATGTTTCTGAAATTGTATTAGCATGAACTGTTATGGAATTTTTTGTCACTCGTATCATTTTAAAATGAAAGTAATCCACTCTAGTTATTGGTACAGACAATAAATTAAACTCTGTTTCTCCTAATTGGGTCATTAAAAGTTATCTACAACAGGTAAGATATTTACTGTTRCMTCTTAAAAACATCTGAGCTGTCCCTTTSAAACAGTGTGTGAATTTTCWGAAAAAATATTCCAATTATTTTAAATTTAGATRAAAGTATGGGCTTTCRTTTGCATCTAATTAGCATTAATGCTAATTTTCCTCCTGAGATCATAGTGGTAGTTCACAGAGGCTGCTGTAGGCGATGTGCCATGGTTTCCTGGTGTCATCATGACCCCAATAATTTTGTTTATAGAAAGTAACTCCCATGTGCTGCATTAATAAGAGCTACAGTTATCACTCTGAGAAGCTCCACGCTTCTTCTTTTAGAAATGTATTTTTTTTTAGTATGATATGTGCTGTGTCATATCACTTCCAAGCTGCTCTGAGTCACRGTCTCCAATGTTTTTGGTCTCCACAAACAGATTATTTCTCTCTCCGAGTGTCATGTCAGCAATAMCTAGCCTACAAAACGGTGGTTATTTATCAGATGCGAAGCAATACTCCGACAGCAATAACATCCACGTCTCGCCTCGTTTTCTCCCAGCAGAGTAAAGCACCGTGACATCTGTTCGGGCTGGAGGCGTGTTAAGAGAGAACAACGCTGAAGTGGTGCTTTAGCGATGGGAGGCGAGATCAAACGATTCCTTCACAACTGCCTCATCTCACCACAAAAACCTGATGAGTTTTCCTTTGTTCCGTYGTCTCGAGCGTCCAAGCCGTCCCGTGTGCTGTGATCTCAAACCAAGAGCGTGTGGTTTTGGGACTGTTTTCATGTGTTCATTGTGAGCTGCATGGCCTGTGAGTGTGTGTTATGTGCAAACTATAATCTGTCTCCTTGTGWTGGATTGTTGCGTCCTGTTTTGACACCCTCTGACCTTAGACGCCAACGTTGTCAGTCTTCCTGTCGATTCTGAGAGAMGTGGCCTCGGTACGTGTTTGTGGAGCTTCTTGGATTGGGGTGGGACCAGCGACTCAAGCCAAAGTAAAAAAAAAAAAAAGACTGCGAACGAACTGCAATCTTAGTCCTGCCGTCTATTTACTCTCTTCTGTGTCACCGATAATAAACTTTAAGTGGATGAGGCAGGCGTCCGTTAAGTGACCTCTGAATGATCCTACGAGCTAAAAAAAACGGCTACTTCCAAATACAAAGATGATGCTTCTTTGTTTGTTTTTCCTTCTCTCCCTGCTGCCTCCTGTCTCACCAACTCGTCTGTGGAGCTCTCGTGTTTTCATCTTCGTGGCCTCGGATCAGGTGCAGAATATTTTCTAAGATCGTAAGCATTCCTAAGCATGACGACGTAGCCTGTGAACCTGTGCACCRTGTCAGACTAGTATTTTTATGAGCACCAAAACGTCAGTCTGTTATTCTTTTACTTTTGAAGGAAAGTCTATTTTGTTATAGTAAGTGAATAGCTCTATCCCCCCAACACACTTTAAAGTGCCTGTGACATCAAATGTTTGTAATACATRTGAATGCATTTTTGAAAAGATGTCATTGAAAAAAATATTGCAAAAGAAATTTGATGTCGCTGAGATGAACAGTTGTTGAGATATTTGCCTGTAAAGTAACAGGAAGTGATGTCAAAGGGGAATGTCTGCATGTGAACAGAGCTTTGCTACAACAACCAACAACCCAGAATGTAGAGAAGAATCTGATGTTTCTTAAGATTATTTTGAGTCTTTATCAGAGAGATGAAGAAGAGTCAGAGTTCAAATAATATTGTTTCAATAAACAAAGACCAGATAGCTTTCTTTGTTAGAGTTTCCCTTTGATGTCACTTCCTGTTTCACTTTGGCTGAGCCAAGTTTAAAACAAAAATATGCCAGTTATGTGACAAAATGTGTAAAACCGTGTGTATTGTTCCAACTTTCTTAAATATAAAGATGTTTTCTTGGACTTTTTGTATTAGAAGAATATATATGTCACAGGCACTTTAAGTCTAACCTGACTTCTTTCACATCCCGATGTTGTGTGAGATAACTGCGCTGTAAAGCCTTTTTCTGAATGTAGTATTTATCAAAACTCTCCTCTAGAGTTTTGTTTCTCTTCTGTAAATTAGGCATGCCGTGAAGAGGAGGGACTTTTCTACCAGTGTTGCATGGTGCTACCAAAGCCAGTCAGTCTGCAGGATCAGTTGGGTCGCACCATTTTTTTTTTTAATTTTGTGTTTTAAAAGATGCTTTCCAACCTTTGCTGTTGACGTCGACACYGTTTGTTTGCTTCCCTCGCGTCGGACGCAGTAGTTTGTAAAAGGCTGGAAGAGACCCGTCTGAGCAAACGTTTGAGGACAAGTTCAACACCGGTGAATGTGAATCTCTAAAGTATTGTGAAAATRTTTCATTGCTGAGCAGTAGAACAAGGGCTTTATTTGAGAACGGACTGTGAAGATGGATGTATTACTCATCTTTACACACATCTATTCAATAGATTCACAGTGTATTAGTACACAACGATGTGTGCAACTTATTTATTTTTTTCTTTTTTGGGAAAAATGATACTAGTGATGGGACTGTTCTGATGGTTACTAATTTAGAGCTAAATATCAAAACACTCAAGGGCCTGTGAATGTGTGTGTGTGTGAGTGTSTGAAGATGAGGTGAAGTCACACATCTTGTTTTCAATGTAAAATGCACTTTATTTATTGGGGGAGGGATGGAAATGGCACAACAGTTAATTATCTGCAAAATAAAACATATAAATGATAATCAACATGCACTAACTTAACTGAGATATTGTAAAAAAAACAAAGATACACAAAAAAAAACAACATTTGTGTGAACGTGGCGTCTATTTTTCCAAAGTGTTATAGTTGTACTTTTTATTGCTTTGGTTAGTTCACTCAACTGAGAGATCTTGTTAATTTTTGTATTAAAGACAAACGTGCTGTGCATAAAACTCCTGCCTTGACTTATTATATATATATATATATATTTTTTTTTTTTTACCCCATCTGTTTTGTGGCTCACTGCCCTGCTTTTCATGCACTCTTCTGTTTCCTTGGTAACTCCTCTCATCGCTGTTACTATGGAAACTGAAGACTCGGAGGCAGGTATGTGTCGCCCGTGCGACGAGAGTGTGACACTGAAGAGACGTGGCAGCGTGGCCGTTATCCTTCATTCATGATTTTATTCATGTGTTGTGGGTCAGAGGTTACAGAGCGACTGCTCAGTCGTTACATCGTATTTCCACAGGTTTCTGTTTGATAGGCGGCTCTAATCGGCCACTCTTCCAGTTATATTCCTCTACACATTAATCATCTATAGCATACACAAGTATTTTAATATAAACAATAAAAAAAGATTAGCTCAAGAGGAAGGTTTCTAGTAATTCTAACACTCTCAAGCCTCGACTATACAGGAAATAAGCACCTTTACTATAGTGTTATAACAGGTAGAGAAACATCCACAGGGGAGTATTCACAATTCTTTGATGTATCAGCATCGACTTCAGTGTTAAATGGTTAATATGGGATAAATCTTGTGCCAGCAGGAACTGAATTTGAATTGCTCAGATTGAATCTGAGTGTGCATAATTTGAAACTGAATGCATTGGTTTGAAAATAAATTTCACTTGTTTGAAACTGAATTCAAAGTTTTGTATCTGAATTAATTTGCTTTGAAACTGTATTTTGGTTTACTAAAAATTTAGTTTGACTACTTTCACTTTCAGTTCCGTAATTCAGATGTTTGTCTCACACATCCTGGTCCTTGAGAAAGCCAGCCAGAGTAATCAATCACAGATTGACAGATTTACGCTTCCCTTCTGTAATGTAACAGAGTTGATGCAATCCACCGTAAAAGTGACAAAAACAGACAAAGTTATTTTATTGCAGTGATTAATTTTACCTATATGTAGAAAATGTTATGTTTACATCACATCATGGATCACACATTGATCAGATGCTTCTGCTGACTGATCCATGATGTAAATGTAACATTTTCTACATATAGGTAAAATTAATTACTGCAATAAAATAACTTTGTCTGTTTTTGTCACTTTTACAGTGGATTGCATCAACTCTGTTACACAGCAGATGGGAAACTTCACCAAAGTGAAACGTAAATCTGTGGATCTGTGTTTGATTACTCTGGCTGGCTTTCTCAAGAACCAGGATGTGACACAAAAATCTGAATTTTGAAACGGAAAGTGAAAGTAGTCAAACTGAATTTTTTTTGACCAAAATACAGTTTCAAAGCAAATTAATTCAGATACAAACCTTTAAATTCAGTTTCAATTTAGTGAAATTTATTTTCAAACCAATGTATTAAATTTCCARTTATGCACATTCAGATTCAATCTGAGCAATTCAAATTCAATTCCTGCTGGCACAAGTTTTATCCCATATTTATAGTGGTCAGCATTAATGTTTAATTTAAGTCTATACAGTATTTTTTGCATATATATCCTAAAACGTCCAGTTTTGAACTATTCGCTTTATATCAGGCTACAGCATGTGATTGTGTGCAGGTGCAGCTCGTGTGTTTTTCAGCAACAAAGTTGGTGATTGCCTGTAAGCATGTCACAGTGAGCATTCTTCCAGGTGAGATTAACTGATAGCAATTCTGTGTGTGTGTGTGTGTGTGTGTGTGTGTGTGTGTGTGTGTGTGTGTGTGTGTGTGTGT